TTGACGAGATAATTCTCACGATGCCCCAAAGAATCAACGAACTCAACGAAGCGAAAGGAAGATCTACTAGATATCAATTAAATTATAAATATATCAGTTCATGTGAATATGATTGAAAAATTTCATTTTTTTCTGAAAAGGTGGTGTCTATTTACTTGTGCCCACGCTGTGTATAAATTAAGAAAAATCAATTATAATTGTTGTTTTAAATTTAATAGTTAACAAAACATTTGTTCCTTTGTTTGATTAAAACCAGTTTACTTGTTAAATAAATGATTTAAAAAATTATACGTAGATACTTTGGTCATATTGTAGGAACATAATAATGATCGAATACGGCAGATTCATGCATATGGCACTTTCAGTGTTTGAAAACTATATGGAAACAAAGATATGAAGACTATTTCATAAACTTGAAGAAATTTAACATTATATATACAATTATTGTTATCTCTTACTAATTCAGGTTGTGTGTGAATATATGTGTTTATTTGTTTGTCCACGAACTCCTATAGTTTTGTAGCTAGGAGAACCAAGCTGGTTATGCAGATCTGGGGTGGCCAGGAGGGGGAGGTATCTGTATAACATAGTCCCACCACCATTGGACACCAAGGGGTGGGGGATAAAATACGTCTGCAAGGTCACCAAAAATAATGGGATCTAAAAGTGGGTTTTCAGTGACGCTGAACCCGAATCGGATTTGTGATCCCGGCCCTCTTGGGATCTCTGTAGCAAATTGGCACACATGCTCAAGTACCATAGGCGGGTGTACTAACATGGGGAGGTGGGGTAATACGGACCCTTCTTGGGGTACCTTTGTAATAATTACATATACTAGAGGAGCTTAATCGGTACATTGGAGCCTCTGTGAATAATGAAAAGGTGTTTTAGGCCCTGCAGAGAATCACGTGTAAAACTCAGAAGAATTGCACCAACAAACTCTCTCACATTAATATGCAGATAAGTTTGTTTGTTTGTTGTTAAGCACAAAGCTACTCAATGGTCTATCTGTGCTCTACAGACATACTGTTGTGCCACTGGGGGGGGGGGGCATGCAGATAATAAAACAGTATAAAAATAATCTCGGTCACTTAAGCAGAAGTTACTTTATTTCCAATAACCAAATTTGATTTTCATAAATTATTCAAATATCATAAGTTATACTCAGCTAAACAAGTTATAACCAATTAACAAACTGACAGATACTTAATAAATTACTTCATCACTTAAACATTGTTAAAACTAAAATATTGCACTTCAGATAGTACAACGCTTCTCCCGAAGCTCATCCCCAAGCTGTAATTTTATTTAAGCATACATTTAAAAAAAATAACTTGAAGTCAATATATTCAACAATAGAAGGTAGAAAATTCATAAGTTTCTGAAATCAAAATAAGCCTTAAATCACAATAAAAACTTAATCTATATAACTATAGTTTAATAATAAGAATATTTAGCATTACATCTAACATCGAACATGAAAATCGTTGCCACCAGACGGGCCCAGCATGGCCAGGTGGTTAGGGCACTCGACTCGCAATCTGAGGGTCGCGGGTTCCAATCCTTGTCCCACCAAACATGCTCGCCCTTTCAGCCGTGTAGGCGTTATAATGTGACGGTCAATCCCACTAATCGTTGGTAAAAGAGTAGCCCAAGAGTTGGCGGTGGGTGGTGATGACTAGCTGCCTTCCCTCTAGTCTTACACTGCTAAATTAGGGACGGTTAGCACAGATAGCCCTCGTGTAGCTTTGCGCGAAATTCAAAACAAGCAAGCCACCAGAAGTAATCGACAATTATACTTCTGTAGATTAAAAGTAATGTTTGTTTGTTTGTAATTAAGCTACACATTGGGCTATCTGTGCTCTGCCCACCACGGGTATCGAAAACCGGTTTCTAGCGTTGTAAGTCCGCAGACATACCGCTGTGCCACTGGGGGCATAAAAATAATATCGGAGTTTATTTGAGAGTTCTACTATTAATGCTATTTCATCAAGGCCTAGTTTTACCATTTTTAGGCATATTGCTTAACTTGTAACTAAATTGATTTTTCAAATTATTAAATATGGCACGTTCTAGAATAGTTAACTGATCGATAGCTAAGTTGCATATTCGTTTATTCCGACTCTGAGAAATTTACTCAACTACTTTACTATTCTATATATACATGAAATATGAGTCGAAAATGCTAACAAGCACAATTAATGTTTTAGCTGCAAAACCTCCTAAGCCTTGACATTTTCAATTATAAACGCAGGCAAGCTTGTATGCACGAATTTCAGAATTGATTTTTCAAGCGTAAAGTATCATTACTTTTTTTGATACAGTGGATTTGCTCAGTCACGACGCCCAGATCAAAACAAGCTTTCTTGAACATAATCGTGTTTTTACAGAAGGAAGTATCCACATAATGAATATAAAAAAACAACAACCACTTTATACTTGAAAAAAGTGTGTAAAATTATTAAAGGTTTTATTTGGATAAGTCTTCGTATTTTATAAACAACAAAATAACTTTATTATATAACATATCGCAAACATAATTTAAAAATTGTGCGAAAAGAAACGAAAGCGGAATTCGACTTGCAATCGTGGAATCGAATCCCCGTCATTGGACATGTTCGCCCTTTCAGCCTGGGACGTTATAATGCGAGGGTCAATCTAACTACCCCTTAGTAAAATAGTAGCCCAAGCTGCCTTCCCTCTAATCTATAACTGATAATTAAGGACGGCTAGTGCAGATAGCCCTCGAATACCTTTGCGCGAAATTCAAGACAAATCAAGTTTGATAAACATAGATACAACCCACATGGATTGTTTTACATAGATACAACCCACATGGATTGTTTTTGGTTTGTTAAATTTTGCTCAAAGCTACTAGAGGCTATCTGCGCTAGCCGTCCCTAATTTAGCAGTGTAAGACTAGAGGGAAGGCAGCTAGTCATCACCACCCACCGCCAACTCTTGGGCTACTCTTTACCGACAGAAAGTGGGAATGACCGTCACATTACAACATCACCATAGCTGAAGAGACGAGTATGTTTGATGACTAGATTCTAACACGAGATCCGCTAGTTGGAAGTCCATGCAAGGTCCCCAACCCACGTCAGTGACTTTAAGTCATAAAGCTGTCGTAATAGGCCGTGAAAAACAAAAACAAATAATAAGGTATACCGAGCAAATAGGTGAGAAGAATGTATAGTTTAGGAAGTAGAAGAGAAGGCAACTCTGCAATACGAAGGGTATAGTAGTTCTTTGAAAATCTGAGATCATTAGTTTTATAGAAGATTGTAGACAAAGAACCAAATTAAAGGGACTAAACGTGTAATTCAGTTGCTCCACCTCAGCACAGGTGAGAAAATATATTACCATGCCTTTCACGAAAGAAAAAAAAATTACAGTAAAATTGTTCGTTTACTGTTTTAACTTAATATATTTATTTCCACTTTTCATTATTACGTTTTCACTGGGCATCATTGGGCATCAGCGTACACAGTGATTTATTTAGTTCATATATAGTTTAAAAAGGTTGTTAAATATTAAAAAATTACCCATAGCTACCTATCTGTTTGATAGTTTGACAATTTTAAATGTCATATAAATATTTGCATGGCCTTCTAATACTGTTTTTGCTTGTTTGTTTTGAATTTCGCACAAAGCTACACGAGGGCTATCTGCGCTAGCTGTCGCTAATTTAGACTAGAGGGAAGACAGCTAGTCATCAACACCCACCGCCTACTCTTATGCTACTCTTCTACCAACGAATAGTGGGATTGACCGTAACATTATAGCGCTCCTACGGCTAAAAGGACGAGCATGTTTGGTGTAACGGAGATTTGAACCCGCGACCCTCAGATTGCGAGTCGAGCGCCCTAACCACCTGGCCATACCGGGCCATCTGTTTTTGCTGTTTTTCAAAAAAAAAAGTCTGCTGTTAGAAACATATATTTTAAATTGGCGCGGAACTGTAATTGGTGTATCGTTTTACAGAAGCACAAGAATTTTAGTTTAAGATTATATATTTTCGAGTTATAAATTTTGTTAAATGGTTCCATTAACTCACAGTTACAATGTATAAATATTTGTAGTATAATGTCTAGTAATTTTAAGAAGATTACATTCTCATTAATGGCTTCCTTTGTTTATCAAACGTGCACACAAAATAATAGTTTTGTAAATAATATCATAGATTGGTAGATTTTCATCGTTTTTGCTATGAGACATACTATTTTAGGCCGAGCGCGGCCAAGTAATTAGTATGCTGGATTGTGTATCTGAGGTTCCGTGGTTCGCTTCCCGTTACCATTAAAAATAAATAAGTAAACAATAGTGCTTCGTACTTTGGGGCTGTGTGTGATCAGTAAAGAGTAGAACAAGAATTGGTGGTGGCTTTGTGCGAATCCAAACAAACAGATGTACTAAAATTACTAATTAGAACGCTTAGTTGCTAATACAATGAATATATCCCGCTTGTTTAATTTATATCAGCACGCACGAAAACATATTACAATTGACGTAACGCTGTTTGTTCAAGTTTATTATTTTGATACATGCCAGACAGTCCCTGGAATTATCGATTGAAAACCGGCGAACATTTTAACCGACTGCTCATAAGTATTTCCGATAGACCAAAAACACACTCCAGCCGCCATAATAGTTGGTTTCTATGGTAACTACACAAGGACTGAAACTGTAGGAAAAGGAAAGGTCGAATGGTGGAACAAATCAACAACATCGTTTGGCTTCCTGAAGGCCAAACCTGATAGGAAACGAGGCTTATTTAAAATGTCTGGTGTGAAATACAAGAAAGAAGGTGGATTGTTTACATGCAAAACTGAGAGCAAAAAATAAAGTTTGTATTTAAGATATTTCGAATGGTGCTCACAAAATGACGTTCAGTTCAGGGAGAAAGAATAATCAACACTAAATAACTCCGCATTAGCACTAGCGATTGCTTTAGAAAAATTCCCAAGATATGCTAATATACTCGAAATGTTTTTAAATAATGGTCTAGCAAATACTACCTGTTATTCACAAGTGACAAATGTTTGAATGGAAAATATGTCGCTCAGCAACTTGCAAATAATAACATAAAAATACATGAAATTATCCACGGGTATCATTGCATATAAGTAACGCATATTAAAACGTATAACTTCTACTGAGCTGTTGAAACCCGTTCTTTTTTTTATTTAACCAAAAATTATGTCAATGCAGTTTATTCTTTAACAAAAATTGAAACATTCTAGATTTTGTAAATAATTTGATATTGCTTTGTATAAATTCACATTATGACTCTCATATAGGTAGAGTTGTTATGATATACAAACACGTTTTGTATTCCTTGTTTTAGAATTAGTGAAGGGAGCATTTTATGCTTATCTATAATTTTCAACATTTTTCGCACATATACGTTTCTAGCTGTGGCTGTAGTCTTGATAATCGACCGTTGACCAAGAAATGTGGTCACATTTCGCTCTGTATTGTATTTTGTCGTACTATTCTAGTCTTATCCAGAATTTCTTCAGCATTCCAAACTACTCTTACTGTCTTCATTTCTTGATAAAGTCTGCCTTCTGGGTAAGAACAGCACTATCTGGTGTTCTATGCTCTCATTAACTTCCATTTGTGTCGATTTGTAAATAAATATTAATACTCACTTTGCTTTTACATTGTGTTGGTCTTTTTTAAAGTAAAACTCAAGTTGTTCAGATTCACTTCTGCATGACATTTTCTTGATGTTCCTCTAGCTACTACGATTACTATTGTTATATAAATGGGGGAAAACTATATTTTGAAGTCCCATACTGTAACGTTGTTTGGTAAGATAGCCCTCGACAACAACTTGTACAACTGTTAAAACTTAGCAGTACAATACATTTACTTTGCTTTAAAAAGCCTCATGATGGATGTCATCTTTAAGAAAATGGATTTACAATGCTAAAATTCTGAGTTTGATCCATTTTGGTAGATAGAGCACACATAACTTTGTGCTAAAACAACAGCAATTTATTTTGTAGGATAGTTGGTGGAATTTTAGTTACATTAACACAGTGCAAGTTCTCGATTGGGGAGGGGATTACGACTGGTATTTCTAACCTGAATTACATCTTATATGAAATTATCATCATAACAGGTGGTGGTGGTGTGTAAAGTTTCACCACAAAATAAAGTGCTGGAGTGAAGTTGTCATTCTAGTAAAATGTGCTGGTGTAAAACTATTGCCTATGGATGAGGTGATAGTGTCAAGTTATCAGCACAGCAGCTGGTTGTGTGTAACATTTTCAGCACAGAATAAAGTGTTGATGTAAAGTTGTCACCATCACTCCAGAATTAGGTGTTGTGCAAAGAATGCTCATCTCACAATTAGTGTTCACTTGTGTACATTCATATTTCTAATTATTTTGATTATTTAGTAAAAAATACTGTAGCTCCAGCTTCATGGGTACATATTCTCATTTTTGGTAAGTATCAATGCGTTGGTAGGGACGCGTTGCTAGGCCGCCATGACAGGTGGCCATGCCGTCATAGTTCCACTGAACCAGCATAACGTGTCTCAATATGTCTATAATTAATACAATCGGTTTAAATAACTAATTTATTAATTAATTAAATTTCCTAATCATTTAAATTGTTCTGAAAATGACTCTTAACACTAACTTATTAGTTTCATACATTTCCTCACAATTTAAATCATCCTAATCGGATAATATCATCAAATAATTAAAACTTACTGTTTGATGTTTAAACATGAGTATATTTAATACACTAGGTACAAAACACTAATTCATTAGTTAATTACATTTCCTGACCATATAACCCTTTCTCCCCGGGTACCCTTTACTGTGAATTACACAAGGTTTTAGTGTCTTACATTCAAATTTTTATTCAACTACTTTTTGTTTATGTTATACCAATTAGAATAGCATAACATCTTAGCTAATAATCCATATTTTAATAGTATACAAGTTTTAAGTTCTTAATTCTACAAGGAAATATGTAAAAAAATCTTGAATTTCCACTAGTGCGACACACACACGTGACACATTTTGTCTTAGCATGTCATCATCTCTATTTTATCCATCACCCCTTGAAAATGTACGAAATTAAACGTAAAATACTCTCTATAAAATTGTTATTACTCAAACAGACCATTATTTTTATAGCCTTCAATTCTGTTTGGTTACAGAGCTATCAAATAGAAAATCAGACCCCTCCTGCTACACCCACCTGTCACATCCTCTCTTTCACAATTCGTTGACAGTTCTCTCTTACGTTTCACTATATATTACCTATAACTTAGAAAGTCAAGGTTTTCATCTATCAATTGACGCATTGTATAATGTTGTGTTCACTCGGAGTGGCAACATCGTTCCTGTGGGAAAGTTAACGACTAGCTTGGATCAATTTCTAACAGCTCTTGTCCCATAGTTAGAAAGCCAGGAAATTTTTGAGAGGTAAGTGAATCTGTCTACTTTTTGCATGTTATTAGTCTATATTATTTGGTGCATTATTTAATTAAATAAAATTTGTTAAGTGTCTTTACTA